GCCATGGACTTTGGCGATCAACCAGGGAAGTATGTCAAAGGGGATGGGGTCATAGGTGATGTATTTTGGTTTTCTGCTACAGACGAATGATCCTATTGCTGCTGCTGATTTTTTCAATTCTCCATAGTGACTCGACTGCACAAACTTCCCCTCAGCATCAGGCTCTTCGAAAATCAAACACAATTCCTCATATATTGGACATTCCTTAATCTTAACCGTTTCTTGTTTCAGTTGACCCCCTATGTATTCCCAAAGATCAAAACCATCAAAACAGTCTGCCAATGAATCATGTTGACCAGAAGTAGATGACTTGAAAGAGTAGTAACGAGTCCTGAGTACATCAAGGTGTTTCCTCAACTGATTGTTGTTGAAATTGAGGTTTCTTTGTCTGTTAAACTTATTGCAGATACAGTTCCAGGTTTTCTTATCAAAGACATTGTTTGGTCTGTTCCTAGCCTAATCTGCTCACCAACTAGTTCTGCAAAGATCTTGTCAACAGATGGTGTCCATCTTGTTCTCAGACGCTCTTGCTTTGGCTGCTGATGGTTAGTATCTATATCCATCAAATGGGTATCAACTTCTCATGTGCAGCCAGAGGCAAGGAGTGTTGCTGTTAACTACCAGCATTCAGAAAGTACTAGCATTATCACAAGCCTTGAGAATTCTCAGATCATAAAGAATATAACTTCCACAGCAACTACCCACCTTCTTCATAAAAGTATTGTTTAATAGTCATAAGCGAGTATATCCTAAATTAGAAAGTTAATGTCTAAGAGCAAAACTATATAGATGAATCAAGATCATGATGTCAAATGCCGAGAGAAAGAGAGGGAGGAAGCATGAAAGACAAATATAATTCATAATTATATAGATATCCTGAATGCATATTATTCATATATAGACATCACAATTAGTTGAACCTTGTAAACATATTTTTCCTGAATGAAAATAAAGATATATATACAAATCAATTCTTTCAAACAAAAATAAGCATATCAACTCGAAAAGAATAGAAATAGTACTGTCAGAAAAAAATCTGGGAGAATGGAATCATGAAATATTGACTAAAGGATTCCAAGCCATAATTTGCTTTTAGGAGACAGGGAACTTATACCTCTCAGCCGAACTTCACTAGCATAGAAATCCAACATCTGTTGATTTAAAAAAAAAAGAATCATGAAATTTTGATTTCGCACTTACTCAAACTATAATTTAAACATGTAAAACAATTTAAATCAATAAGAGTTACGACAATCACTAGTTTATCATATACTCCGTTTTAAATTTTTGAAAGTTTAAAACCTGAAAAATAACTAATTAAAAAAAGTCTGAAGTAGTATTTAATAACTAGTTAATTAAGTCAAATATATGCAAACTAGACAACTAATATACGTAGTACTACATATCAAAAAGTTTAATAACTACTCCTTAAAATCATAACAAGTTTATTTTGTAAGAATTTAGAAAATATCAATAGAAAGCATAGATATTCTTCATCAATTTCAAAATTTAGAGAATAGATAATAACTTCTCCAATAATCCCTCTTCAAGAACTTCGATATTCAAGAGTTTTCAAATTTAAGCTTTAGAATTGAACTTTTTTAATCGGATGTGTAGTAATACTTTAACGGGTTATATTTCAAGTTTTCAACTGTAAAATTCATCATAGCATCACATATAACAACTTAAGTGCATTAATCAGCTTACTCTTTTTATCAATTTTAAATATATTGTAATATGTACCAATACTACTTTATATTACTTGGAGCAGGTTTAGCAATTCAGTAATTTAAAAAACCAGAATACAGAAAGAATAAAATTTCACTGATTCAGCCAAGCAAATAAATATGTCAAATAAGCCAAGCAAATGAACGAAGCAAATCACCCAACCAAATCGCCTAAGAAACTCAGCCAAGCAAATCAACGTACCAAGCAAACTAGCCATATAATTGCTGAAAACTGTAAACTTTCTTTTTTTTGTATTCAACACTAAGTTAGTGCCCTTTTGTTTGAGCAACACTACGCTGAGCCCCATCGTGTGCCAGCCTTAGTACTCTCACATATCCCAGTGACTGTAGTTTATAGTGGTCTTTCCCAGTGATACTGGTACTTGGCGGCTCACGAGCAACATATAGAATTAGGTTCGAAAACTTCGTTTTTGTTTGATTGATTCATACAAGAAGATTAGAATAATAGATATTGGCGATTAAACTTACCTAGGGCAAGAAGGTTGAGCAATCAAACGACAATCTCAAATCTACTCATAGATGGATCAAGTTAAGCAAGAGGACCTTTAACCAATCCAGCAACGAATATGTAGCTAATGGAACCAGATGAACGCTACAGCGAAGTGAATGACCGAACGATGCGGATGATCGAGTGAGGCGATTCTCTGAGAATCCTTTAAGCAGCGACTTTAGTTTCAGATCCTTGGGAATAATAAGCGTGGAGATGAGCAACTTTTGTATCTGAGCGAGGAAGATTAGGGCAAATCAGCGAGGTGACGGATCAGATTAGGGAAAATCACAGCGGCGACGGAGATTAGGGCATACGGAGGGAGTATAACGATGTCATTCTTAAGGCTCTTTAGCCTAACCGACTGAAGTACACTATACGAGAGTACTAGCTGATGGAGCGCGAAAGTATTTGGAATTGGGAAATTTTGGCCCCATACGTAATATTTGCAATAATCTATATACGATTGATCGTTCGTTTTCCAAAGTTTTTTATATAATAAATACGTACTATAAAAAATTGATTCGTAATAACAATGACTACATATTGATTAATAGCGACCACTTTTCATAATTAGTTGTTAATGATAAATTTAATCACGACGAACTAATTAGTTATTGTTAAAAGATACTTTTAACTACAATTTATTAGAGTCGTCGTTATAAGATGGTCGTTAAAACCCGTTTTTCTTGTAGTGTACGCAGGACGGCTGGAGAAGACGGTGAATTTTTACCGGCTCTGTTTTAATGAATACGGAGTATAAAACACCGTCGTTTTCGGATCAGCACACCATGCGCATGGTGGGCTGATCCCACAGTATAATTTGCCGGTTAAATGAGTATGCTTAACATGCATATGTTCCCTTGTGTGTCTTGGACAAATATACCCTTATAGCTATTGAAATGTTTTAATTCATAATAAAATAATAAAATATAATAAAAAATTCGTAAAAATACTAAAAATTAATAAAAATATATCGATAATAATACTTTATTTATTTTTATCAAAAAATAATTTTTTTTTTTAAAAAACAATAAAAACTCAAAAAATAAAATAAAATTCACCGCCGCCTATGCCGCCTCTACACCACCACCTACAGTCATCAAAAAATCCAAGTTCATTACGAATGCCATATTTATGGCAGAAAACAATGAAAATATTGGCATTCTCAAAGAGAAATATGCCATGTTTTTGGCATTTTCAGAAAAAATGACAGTTTTTCAGGGAAAATGACTTTTTTTCACCGGGCAGAGATGGTGTTGCAAGGAGGTAGTACAGGCGGTGGGAAAGGCATCCATTTTTTTATCGAGTTTTACTATTTTTATTAATTTTTATAAAAAAAAATTAAAAAAAAATAAATTTTTTTATAAATATTTTATAAATTTTTCAATTATTTTTCTACGTTTTTTTGATTTTTTTTGAATTTATTATGAATTAAATATTTAATCAACTCATATTTAAAGGAAGGGTAAGAATGAAATGAAAAATTAGGTATGTTTCCAATAGGACTAATATGGTCCTATTTTGAAAAGAAAAACATAGCAAATCCTATTTTGAGTTTTTGTCATAATTTTAGTCCTATTTGGAGTAATTTCTATACACATTAATTAGGTGAAAAGGTGGGCTTTAGGAGTTTAGCACCAAGCTTGATATGTGCTTTACTTTGAAAAACAGGTGAAAGAATATAAAAATCTTATATGCCGTATTTCCTTTGATCAATACATGATTATACATATTTTATTTCTTCAAAATTATACGTCAAAAGTAGATTAAAATGAGTTTTCCTCAATAATAGACCCTAAACCTTGAACAGTGAAGTCTAAATTCCTAAACTCTAAACTGTGATGTCATAAACTCGAAATTTGAACTCATGTTAAACATTTATAAGCAAACAAAAACAAGAAAACATATTGAGGAAAATTTAAAAATCTAATGAATGTGTAAAAAATTTAAAGAATGAGAGAATGTGAATTGTGTAAATTAAGAAAATAAATCAAAGACACTGAGAATTTAAAAGTTATGTATCAAATTTGTAATGGTCATAGATGAAAGAAAGAACCACAAAAATATCACTTATGGATTTTGACTAGACCAAAATATCCTCCTCCTCCTTGTATTGAACACCAGATAAAATTAGAATTCACGACGCGGAGGTGTGGTCCGCCGATGGCACATACGCCGTCGCTGGTTGCAAATAAGCCGCCGGGTCGCACAATAGAAGAACATGCGCTGATCCAAAGGCCGGCCGCATCGTAGCATGAAACAAAGCGAGATAAATTTTCAACTATGGGTACTTTCGGATTAGATTTCCTTCACCAAGGCAATATCTGAAATAATAAAGGAGACCCACGATTGAACACGCCTAGTATTATGTCCACCGGAAAAGAGAAGAACCACCATATGAATGTATCGCCGCCAAACTCTTAGACCGCCTGGAGCTCTCGGAACAAGGAAGAAGCCTTCAGACTTCTAGTAGGACAAATTGCCAAATTAGTTATAATAAATGATTAAAATGGATATTAAAAAAAATCTAATTAAATTTAATTAGAGGCTGCAAATAGTATCACAGGCCCCAACCGATTTAGGCCCCTTCCGGGTATGCCCACCTGGTGTGTACTTTGCTGGGCCGGGATGCAGTGACCCGGAAATCGAGAAAAGTGGAAGGCGCCCTCTCCCCTGACCCGAATCTGAGTTATCAGAATTCGGAACCTCTGATATAAACCTTCGTGCTCTCTTAATCTCATTCTCCATCTGTATCTGTAACTAAAAAAATTCTGCCATGGCATTTCCTTACTTGGAATCGGTCGTTGGTATGCTCGAACATAGCTCCATTTTCTCTTATATGTATACATCATATATTATATACGGTGTATTATTTGCATATGTATGCGTGCGTATATTGGTAGGTTAAAAACATATTTCGGACTTCATCTGATTTCTGCTGCATTTGAAATGTTATTGTCCTCTCTCTATCGAGCTATTATGATTATTATTACTATATCTATTAATCTGAGTTAGACCGGCCATATACTTAACATTGACTCTAATTATCACGGAAATGTCTTAATATTGATAATAATACTATGAAAATGAAAAAACAAGTAGTGCAAACGTGAAAAGCAACAATGCTGTAATACAAGGTTTTCCCCAAAAGATGCTTCCAACTCTCTAAGTTATACTCAGTAGTTCCAATAAGGGAATGGCTCAAAGCTGGCCCGGGTGTTTCTTGCTCAGCTCCGCATATAAGATTTTGTAATATACTGCATTGCTCGACATAATGTTTAAAACCGCACTGCTCAGCAGTCTGGGGCTTTTTTTCCATTTATCATTTGAACTTGCTTAGTTATAAGCAGGCTTGGCTGAAACGTAAGAATCTCTTACAAACGGGAAAAAGGGTCTTGCTATTTAAAACCTATTCTTTTGTCTCTGTGAGGCATTTGGGCTTCTGTTTATTACTGTAAAAAAGTCAGCATTACCTTCATGGGCGGAACTAGGGGGCCATAGTAGGCCCCGGTCCATCCCAAATTGAAACAAAAGTTTAAATATTATTTAAAAATATTTGGGCAGGCCCACGCCATTTTGCAGTCCTTTCTACGCCACTGATCACCTTGGAAGTAGAAGCCTCTTCAAAGAGATCATGACAATTGATTATGTTGTCTGCTTAGCATAAAGAAATAAAGTAGCAATGCCAATTATGGTGATTGTTTTCCATCAAGTGGAAAACACTTGATCTAATATTATTTTTAAGCAACGTTGCAATAAATTTTTGATATTATAGTCCTATTTTCTGTTTTCTGTATACTGGGCAGTGTGGGACGGTGGGAGGGGTCAGCTAACGTTTTAATTTGAAGTGTACTTTGGGGGATGCTGCCTTTACTCTTTGGTGGTTAATTTTCTCTCTTCCATGTTTCTAATTCTTTCAGGTTTTATGATATGCATGTACATTTTTGAGACATACCTCGATATACGGCAACATGCTGCTCTTAAGCTGCCAACACTTCCAAAACCGTTGGTAGGAGTAATTAGCCAAGAAAAGTTTGAGAAGGCTCAAGCTTATAGTCTTGATAAAAGGTTCATTTATATAAAGATTCAGTTGTTTTTGGGTTTCTGTTTAATCATCCATTTACTCATTTTTTCCTTGTTGATGGGGTGTAAATACTTCCCAGCTATTGGCACTTTTTCCAATCATATATCAACATGCTTATGGACACGGTGATTTTGTTATTTGGGATCTTACCTTGGTTTTGGAAGGTGAGTTCCTCACTATTTTGAGGTACCTTGTCATAAAAAGACATACTCCCTTCATCCCAATGTTATATCTCGAGTCATTGACTTGGCATGGAGTTTAAGAAAATGAAAAACTCTGTGCTGCTGATATTTGTTTAGACAGGAATGCAAGAATTTGAACGACACATTTTTTACTTAAAAGGGAAAATGATATTTTTCACGGGCGCCCTGAAAAGAGAAACATGAAAACTAAAAGAGATCAAGGGAGTTTTATATTATTATTAAATTATTATTATTATCATTATTATTGATTTATTGATTAACTGCAGAAATCAGGAAATGCTTTGGTGTTCTTTGGTCTTAATACAGAGAATGAGATACTGCACACACTTTCCTTTTTAGCAGGTGTTACGATTTGGTCCCAGGTGTGTTTTCTGGTCTTTATGGCTCATTGGAGTTTTCATTTTTGTGGCAATACTAATATGTAATTTGCAATGGCTTTATGACTAAGTAGCATGGAAACGGGAAATGTGAAACACGAGAAACACGATTTCTAGAAAACATAGGACACGAAATGTGGGAGAAACGCGTAAATATTAAAAAGTACAAGGATATATTTGTAAATATTTTTCACATATGCACACAGATTTTTTAATTTATTTACATGCATACATCTGACCCCCTTACCCCACCGTAGGTGGGAGCCTTTGCGGCACTGGGGTTATGATGCTGAATGATGCTGACATGCACATGATATTTTCATATAACTGGCTTAATAGCCCGATATTAAAAACATTCTACAATCCACACGTTGAAACTTAGAAATCATGACATATTACTCCCCCTGTTTCGTTGAAAGGTTCCCACTTTTCTTATTTGAGTGTTCCATTTAAAATTTCTCATTCCATTTTAGGAAATAATTTACTCTCTTTAATTACACTTTTATTCAAATTTCTCTTTCCTACTCATTACATTTCAAATCTCACAATTTCCCCTCCTTCAACTTACTCCCTTTAATTACGTTCACTTTTATGTTTACGTTTTCTAAATTCTCTTTCCTCTCTTTTTACCCAAATAACTTTGTTTAAGCACTTGCCTAAAATGTCGTGCCATTTACCCACGAGAACCTTCCAACGGGACAGAGGGAGCATTACACAATTAAAAATAAAATGCTATTCATACGTAGTAATGCCATGCATTATGAAATGCAACAATGTTGCTACAAAGAAGTAACACAAAAAACCGCTATTTTTTTTAAAAGACACTATTTTCCCTCATAGGATCTCTTATAAAGAAAAAAAAAGAAAATTCAATGTTTCCGACGCATATTATTTAGGGAATCAGGTTTCCCAATTCTTCTTAATTACGGAAACGGCCTTGAAACGAGAATTTGAAGTTTCTGAGTTTCCGACACGTTTCTGAGTTTCCGTAACGGGGAAACATGAGCTGCAGAGAGTTTCCGTGCTTCATAGTGTTAGGGACATTAAATAAACACTATACGTGTATTTGCTTGTAATGAAGTGTAGATATAATCTGTTAGCCTTCGGTTATACTTGCAGTTAGTTAGTTGTACTGTGACTTGTATAAATATCCTGTTACTGCCCTTCATTCAATAAGATGATTTCATTTCCATTCTATGCTTTGCTTAAACTCTAATATGGTATCAGAGCTCTGCTCGTTCCAGCCATGACGAACTTATCTTCCGAATCAAACTCTTCGCAACCTTCTTCGCAATCTTCTTCTCAAATTTCTCCAGTCATATTCAATCATCCTGTACCAATCAAACTCGGCTCCAATAATTTTCTATTCTGGAGACATCATGTTGAATCTGTAATCTGACTATCCGAGCTCATAAACTTCACAAATTTATCGAAAAACCTCAAATACCAGAACAATTTGTTGTTGCCAATGATGGACGAACAAAAACGCTTAATGAAGCGTATAGCCTCTGGGAGCAACAGGATCAAATGTTGTTTTCATGGCTTCTGGCGTCGTTATCTGAATCTCTTCATGCTCGAGTTATCAGCTGCAGACATTCGCATCAATTATGGAGCGAAATTCAGAAGTTTTTCCGATCAACTGTTGTCGCCAGAGCTCGTCAGCTCAAATCTGAGCTGTATAGTACCGGTAAGGGTGATCGATCTATCTCTGAGTACTTGCTTCGTATTCAGACCATAGTTGAAAATCTTATATCTATTGACGAACCGGTATCTACCAAGGATCACATCAATGTGGTTCTCGAAGGCCTTCCAGAAGATTACGAGTTGCTTGTATCATCAATTGCCTCTCGTAGTATTCTGGATCCTGTTTCTATCTTAGAACTTGAAGGTCTGTTGTTAGCAAAAGAATTGCGAATCAAAAAGTTTAGAGAAAATTCACAACAAACATTGTTTTCTGCAAATGTTGCTCGTTTGGAAGACTCCTCTCCAAATCCTGAATCTGGAACTCAAAATCCTTCAGAAACTCACTCTGCTCAGGTTGCGCAATTTGATAATCCTAGTGGAAATCCTCCCTACAGAGGTCGTGGTCGTGGAGGCTTCAGCAGAAGAAGAGGTGGTCGCAATGGTGGTCGCAACTCTGTTATTTGCCAAGTCTGTGGCAAAAGCGGTCACCATGCTCTTATCTGTTATCACAGATATAACCCTGCTTACACTACTTCAAATTTTAACCCATCCAACCAATGGCAATCTACAGGACCCTACTCTGCTAATCCTCAGAACCATAATCCTACACAACAAACTCAGAACCATTTCTCCATCCCTAATCAACACCAAAACTACCTACCATCATCTCATCAGTATACATGACCAAGATATCCATCTCATTTTCCTACTCCACCACCACCACCCTTTAATTGGGTGCAATCTGTCTCTCCTTTTAATAACCAGGATCCCAACTACACCGCACTTACTGCACCTACTGCTGCATGGGCTTCTGCAAACTCTTCTGTGCTTGGACCACCTCCATACACTCAAACCTGGTTTCCAGATTCAGGGGCCACCCATCATGTTACAGCTGATCCCCTAAACTTCCAACACAGTGAGCCTATTGCTACAACTGACAAGCTCTTTATGGGCAATGGTCAAGGTTTGGCAATTAAGTCTATTGGTTTTTCATCCTTTCCCTCTCCCTATCAATCATCTCTTTCATTATATCTAAATAATATCCTACATGTTCCAGCTATCACTAAAAATCTTCTAAGTGTTAGTCAGTTTGCCAGGGACAATAATGCATTCTTTGAATTTCATCCTTATGAGTGTTTTGTCAAATCCCAGGTTTCTAAACAAATCCTGCTGTATGGAACACTTGGAGCTGATGGTCTCTATAGGTTTCATTACTTTCCAGCACTGGGGTTTCACAAGTCATCTGCTAACACTCTCAAGTCTTCTTTTAATAATTCTGTGTATCCTAGTTCTTTTAAGTCTCAATGTAATCTGTCAAGTCAATACATCTTCCAATGTTTGGCATTTAAGGCTAGGTCATCCTCACTTTGGGGCTCTTAAATCCGTACTCCATCTCTGTAATGTTCCTTACATAAATAAAAGTGTTGTTGAGTTTTGTAATGCTTGTTGTCTTGGAAAGGCTCATAGACTTCCATCTTATCCTTCCACTACTGTGTATCACACTCCTTTTGAACTAATATTCACTGATTTGTGGGGACCAGCTCCCCTTGATTCATTTGATGGTTACTCCTATTATATCTCATTTATTGATGCCTTTACTAGGTACACTTGGATATACTTTCTCAAAAAGAAATCTGATGCCTTCCTTGCCTTTCAAAATTTCTATCAATATGTGCTAAATCAATTTCATGTCTCTATTAAATCAATTCAATCTGACTGGGGGGTGAGTTCAGATCCTTTACACACTTTCTAAATGAAAAAGGCATTACTCATAGAGTAATTTGTCCTCACACACACCATCAAAATGGTGTTGTGGAAAGAAAACATCGCACCATTGTTGAAAAAGGATTATGCCTTCTCTCTCATTCATCTCTACCCTTGAAATTTTGGGACACTGCATTTGCTACTGCAGTTTACCTCATAAATAGAACTCCTTCCAAATCTATTGATAATCTCAGTCCTTATTTCAAGCTGTATGGGTCTGTTCCTGATTATTCTATTCTAAAGGTGTTTGGTTGTTCTTGTTACCCATTCCTTCGTCCATATAATAAACATAAACTGGACTACCACTCACAAGAGTGTGTTTTCTTGGGCTACTCTACTCACCACAAAGGATACGTGTCTTTCACCATGTGGCAAAATCTACGTTTCCAGAGATGTAACCTTTAATGAAGCAAAGTTTCCTTACTCTACTCTATTTTCTGCCACAACAACTTCCCATCCTACTGTCCCAGTGCAACCATCTGTACCTATCACCATCATTAATTCATCTTCACTTCCCACCTCTAATATAGATATAAATCATTCTACCACATCCTCCAACTCTTCTACCCATACACCTTCTATTTCTACTCCAGTATCACCTGATCATCAAGTTTCTCACAACTCTGAGTCACCATCTTCCTCTTCTACTTCTTCCCAGCCCTCTATTCCTGTTCCTAACAGTCATCCTATGCAAACAAGATCCAAATCTGGGATTGTTAAACCTAGACTTAATCCAACTTTACGCATTAGCTCATATTGAGCCCAAATCAGTCAAGCAAGCTCTCTCCTCTCCACCTTGGCTTGCTGCAATGCAAGCTGAATATAATGCTTTGATGACTAACAACACTTGGTCTTTAGTGCCTCTTCCTCTAGGGAAACAAGCTATAGGCTGCAAGTGGGTGTTCATGGTTAAAGAAAACTCAGATGGGTCTGTCAACAAATTCAAAGCCAGACTGGTAGCAAAAGGGTTTCATTAGAGATTTGGTTTTGATTTTGGCTAAACATTTTCCCCAGTGGTCAAACCAGTCACTATCAGAGTTCTTCTTACATTGGCTGTTTCTCATCAATGGTCCATTCAGCAACTTGATGTTAACAATACCTTCCTCAATGGAGATCTTGAGGAAGAAGTGTACATGCAACAACCTCCTGGGTTTCAGGCCAAAGACAATTCCCTAGTTTGCAGACTACACAAATCATTGTATGGCCTCAAACAGGCTCCAAGGGCCTGGTTTCACAAACTTACTTCTGTTCTATATCAAGCTGGGTTTAAGCAAAGCAAATGTGATCCTTCTCTTCTCATTCTCTTGACTTCTGGGATACAGATCTATATCCTTATCTATGTAGATGATATTCTAGTAATTGGAAACAATTCTACCATCATTCATCAACTCATCCATAAACTTCATTCCTCTTTTTCTCTCAAAAATCTTGGGTATATTGATTACTTCTTAGGCATTGAAGTTAGAAAACTCCCTGGTGGTGGTCTACATCTATCTCAAGCCAAATATGTTAGAGATCTTCTACACCATGTTAACATGACAGACTCCAAAGGGGTGAAAACTCCTATGGTAAGCAGCTGCAAACTTACCAATGAAGGAAGTGAATATCTTCCTGATCCTTCTTATTACAGATCTGTTGTGGGTATTCTTCAATATGCAACTTTAACTCGACCTGAGCTAAGCTACTCTGTGAACAAAGTCTGACAGTTTATGGCTGCACCTCAACTGGAACATTGGAAGGCTGTAAAACACATTTTAAGATATCTGTCTGGCACAATTACTCATGGTTTGGTCATAAAACCTCTACCCTTATCCACTATGCCTTTACCTGTCTTAGCCTTTTGTGATGCTGATTGGGCATCTGATCCCACAGACAGAAAATCTAGGTCCAAACATCATCTCCTGGTGGTCTAGAAAACAATCGAGGGTTGCAAGGTCCTCAACTGAAGCAGAATATAGAAGCCTCGCTGACACCACTTCTGAGATTTTATGGGTCCAATACTTACTCAAAGAACTTCAAGCTCCATTTGTTACTCCCAGAGTCTACTGTGACAATCTCAGCACAGTGCAACTTGCTCACAATCCAGTTCTACACTCTCGCATCAAACACTTGGAAATTGACCTATTCTTTGTTCGTGAGAAAGTGAGACTTAAGCAACTTCAAGTATTCCACATTCCAGCTACTCAACAAGTTGCAGATGTGCTGACCAAGCCTCTATCTTCTTCTACATTTCTTGAGTTCAAAAACAAACTCAGTGTGATTGATTTTCCCAAGCAATCCCTCCGAGTTTGAGGGGGGAATGTTAGAAACATTAAATAAACACTATACGTGTATTTGCTTGTAATGAAGTGTAGATATAATCTGTTAGCCTTTGGTTATACTTGCAATAAGATGATTGTAATGAAGTGTATAAATATCCTGTTACTGCCCTTCATTCAATAAGATGATTTCATTTCCATTCTATGCTTTGCTCAAACTCTAATACATAGCTTCATGATACAAGTATACAACAATATGTCAATAACCCAATCTGGGTGAAGGCCATATAAGTTTGTTATTCTTTGATGAGTTGCAATTTTTCAGCTGTGAAAAATACTAGCACTTTTTGTTAGTTTAAAATTGATCTTAATGCTTAAATTTCACACTAATACTCCTGCCAGATTACGGAGTTGCCATTTACTTTGTACTCAACATTTGTGATTGAGGCCCGCCATGGTTTTAACAAGGTAAGTTTTTTAAGTTTATCACTGTAGATTTCCGCAATAAAAAAATTCTCACTATAGAAAGATATTCTATGGGAAAGTTCCCAAAATGAGTCTGCTTTATTTTTCTCCCCAAAATAGGAGTAACATGACAATATTTACTGATATCCTGGAGTCATTGCTGCCAAAATAGTTGTAGTACTACTGTACTAGTCATTAACACGACAATTTTTACTGCAATTAATGCAGTAATTTTCAACCATGGCAGTAATGATTCCTATTTTAAGAAAAACACATAGCAGTCCTATTATGGAATTCCAAAACCCGTTTAGTCCTATCTAGGGCAATTTCCCATATTGTATTCATTTTTTGGCTAAATAATTTCTACACTTTGGCTTGTAGTCAGACACTACTTCCTTTATCTCATCATCACTATAGCTGTAACCCCTGTATTTTTGTTGCATACAGCAAACAGTACGACTCTTCATCAGGGACATGATCAAAAGTATTATTTTAACCATTGTGATAGGCCCACCTATTGTGGCTGCAATCATTCTGATAGTTCAGGTACAAATGTACAATGTAATTTTATTATTTCTTTGATATTTTATTTTTATTTTCCATTTAGCATAGCAATGCAGGAATGGCTACTTTATCTGAATATGGCCCTGATTTTGTTGTCGAACAGTGTCACTTGGAGTTTAGTGCTTTGCTATATCCACAGTATACTCTAAAAGATCTTTTTTTCCATCACCTGTACTTATGTATACCATATTACCATGTTTAATTATTTTTTGCGTCTGAATTGCAAACAATCAATGGAGAGCTTTACTAAGTTTGTCCATAAGGAGCAAACCGGTCGACAATTTCAAAATTATGTTTCTATGATGTTTTTTCTTTGTCTCTTCCCCTCTTTAAAATGGTAATAATTTTGGATGCAGAAAGGAGGTCCTTACTTGGCCATATATCTGTGGGGTTTCATGCTTGTCCTGTCTCTGGTTATGATGACGTTATACCCTATCCTAATTGCCCCACTTTTTAACAAGTTCACCCCAGTGAGTACTCCTCTTTTGTCCTCTTTTTCTTTTAAAGATTTCATCTCGCTCTATGTTGCTTGAGGAAAGACGATTGATGTGTAATTCCGTTGGTTTGATTTTCTTTTAAGTGTAGCTTCCTGATGGTGAGCTTAGAGGAAAAATTGAAGACCTTGCTTCCTCACTCAAATTCCCCTTAAAGAAGTTGTTTGTTGTAGATGGATCAACAAGGTCAAGCCATAGCAATGTAAAATCACGCAGCCTTTCTGTATTGTAACTTGTGGGATGATTTTCCAAGGGTGTGTTTGGGAGTTGGGTTTTGGAGGGGAGGGGAAGGGTAATGAGGGGTTTATGACACTCCTTTTAATGTTTGGGAGTTTAAAAAATTGGAGGGGGTGGTTTTGGAGGGCTTTTGTAACCCTTCAAAATCCTCCAAATGCTTAATTTTTAAGTTATCCCAATTTGGAGGGTTTTGGAGGATAATTAACAAGATGGTAATTTAAGCTAAATTAGAAATGAATATCAACTCAATGACTTGAATTCGTCATATCTCAAAGTGATTTTAATTATAATTCCTTCAAAAACCCTCTCCTTCCACTTTTATTACTCCCAAATACAAAGAAGGGCTTCCTCACCCTCCCTTTCCTTTCCCCTCTAACAACATACCTCCAAAGCCTTACCCTCCCCTTCCCTCCAAACTCCCAAACATACCCGAAGTACAGTTCACTCCACTTTAATGTCTCCAATACATCTCAAACTGAATGATTATAACTCAACACTTTAATTATTTCTCAGAATTTCCCTTCAGTACACATAGTTTTCTACAAGCAAGTTTTGTTAGACATCATGAAGATTAGTGAACACTGAACCACTTAATTTGTTCAATCATTGTTTAGGCACTTTATTTTTCCATCATTTGCAATGGAGCCAAAGATTCATTATTTTTTGGCTTGAGATTATGATGGAATAAAGCAAAATGTCCCACTAAACGGTCTCTGTGTGCTTTAGTACAGGGGTAAGACTGCGTACATCCGATCCCCCCTTACCCCACCGTAGGTGGAAGCCTTTGCGGCACTGGGGTAAATGAAAATGAATTGTTTAGGCACTTTATGTGAACTACGTACATGGAATATTATAAAGCATTGCAGCCAGGTTTTCTTCAAACAGGGATCACTTTTATTTCTGATACCCTTGAGCACATTCTTAACTCTATCCAAAGAGTGCATTAGTTTGATTTGTGTTTTTCACTATTTGTGTGTTTGGTTACATTACATTCTGTCTTTGCGGTTATATTATATTATGTGTGCACTTTGTGCTTTTACTATTTTGTGTGCATTTGATCTAGCCTATGCTACACTACATGAATAATTGTATCACCTTTTGTTTACATTTATCTTTTTTAGTTTTGTGGAATAAAACAAATGCAGATTTGCATTACAAATTTACAAATGATAGGAGTTCTGAACATGCAGTTTTGCTGATCAGAGAGGTTTTTATATGCAGCTACTATGTACACAGACCAGTTAGAGATTACTATGCGTCTATGCTACAATTAAGTAGTTGTTTTAGTGACTAAATCGTACATACGTGTGAAGTGAAATTCAATTTCCTCTGGTATTAATATGGTCGCATTTGCTGTAAATAATGAAGCAAGAGACAACATGAAGCTATGATGAACATAACACAAAATATAGATGGAAATATAGCGAAATGAATTTCCATTTGGTCGTGACCTCTATATCTTAATTATGTTTCTGATATTGCTCCCACCGTTTTCTTTATACGATGCCTGCCATTCTCTATGATGCTCATCTAACCTATGGGTTATATTTTTCTTTCTATAGGCATACATGTATGGATTCTTCAAGAACAAAAGGATAGTTCTTTATGATACATTGATTCAGCAGGTGGGGCAGTTACCTTACACGTGTAATAGTTTTCTCAGTTTCCCTAAATTTTAATTTATTTTCTTAATCACTAATAAAGTATGCTTAGCCCCTATTTAGAGTTCCTTCAATATCCATCCTTGAATTATTATTTAGGATTATATAACTATTTTCATGTTATAATGTAATATTAATGTTTTTGCAAAATTAACAGTTAAAGTAACAAAATATGAAACAAAAAGTAAAGACGCGTAATTTAAATAGGGACAGAGGGGTACTAATTTTCCGTATCTAAATATCTGTATATTGAAATTACTAGGAAAGATGTTTGACTATACAGACTTACAAGTTACAATAGTGTAACACTTGACATATATATATTTCCCTTTCATGAGAGACAGGCGTAATAATTTATATTGTACCGTACTACCATTATATTGAATTAATTAATGCCTTTGTTACAATATGGTGATTGGTGAATGTTGCTTTTTAAACTGGAGTGATACAAAAAGTAAGCATATGCTATATTGCTAGCTTTTGTAGTGTGGCCACTTACATCAGTTGCCTGTTGAATCGATACTGTGTTTACTTTGTGGACTAATTAGTAGTTAGCATGCGACTTAGGATTGGTCTAATTTAGTAGAGCGGGGAATACACCAGGGATTTGTATACTGGAAATATATTTAGTCAACAAGGCTTAGAATGATATTTGCAGGAACACTCAAATATACGCCTGAAATTAAATTTCAAAGTGGACTTGCCCAAATGCCCTTAACACCCTCTTCTATGTTCCCTTCACTTCCCCTCACACAGTCACACCCTCCCCACCCCCACTGCTCGCTACATCCCCTATCATCAGATGTGGTCAACAGTACCAGTATGTCATGGATGAGGTATAGGATGTGGGGGTGGAATTTGTTAGGCACTGCAATATATCTCGTTAGATAAGAGGAATAGGCAGGTATGTTATGAGCGTAGTTGGTAGATGAAAAGAAGAAGATTGAAAAGTATGGTAATTGGAAAAATAGCACAGCTTCCTGCCCTAGGCAAGGAAGCGCCCGTCAGTTCCACTGAGTGCACAAGAAGAATTATTTCTCCAAAAACTGATGATCCCATTAATGAATATAGCACCTCTGTTTATACTGGTCCTAATTCTATTACAATACTTCAATTAGGATTATTAACTAAAATAGAATTATCTACACTAATAGGAAACTAGAACTAATAATAACAAGAGAAAGCTTATAATAATACTTGGGGAAACTAATGATGATGATGATATTATTAATAATAAAAACAAGTCAAGTATGCATTCCCTGTAACTCTGTAAGACATTGGTCTAGGATATCCTTCAAAGAAAATTACCAGATCAACATTCAGCACCTTCTTTAATGTGATGTGCCCCCCTATCCCGAGAAAGAAATATGGGCTCAGAGTAACTTTTGTTACTTTCTTATCCCTTTTTCCTTCTTTTAAATATTGATGCATTTTTACCTTTTTAGTGCAATAATGATGAGGATGTCGTTGCTGTCCTGGCGCATGAGTTAGGCCACTGGAAACTAAATCATACAATGTACACCTTCGTTGCTTCCCAGGTAAGTTTAATCAATTAACACAAGCTCTTCCTCCTGATGTCCTTTCATTTGTCTCTAAATTTGTTTCAGATTTACAAGCATTGGACTCCTCATACGTAGTCTATCTACTATACAGTTTTGTCCTTTATGCTCGTGCATTTTTTGGGATATTGTTGTGACCTTTTTTCTTTCTTAACCACACAGATCCTCACATTCTTACAGTTTGGAGGGTACACACTCCTTAGGAACTCAAAGGATATGTTTCAGAGTTTTGGCTTTGACACTCAACCAGTTCTTATCGGGCTTTTGATTTTTCAGGCAATAACTCACTATTTTATTCTTCGTCATCTTAGAAAAGTCTCAAGTTACCTATGCAGTGGTTATTGTTTCCCACTTCTCCCCTTTCCAAAAGGGTAACAGTGATAACTCATTTTTAGTCTTTGGAAGTTCAACGAGTCATTTTTTAGAGAGAAATTAAGAAAAAGAGAACTTGTTGGTGTGCAACCAAATGCAAAACATAAAGTTTCAAATTATGCATTCTCTTTTTTAATTATGCATCCATGCTTTATATGGAATTCAGGGTCTTCTCATCTCAAAAAATGGTTGGTGTAATTAGTATAAGTTTCTTTGGTGTCTATCCCAACCTATTATTATTGTTATGTGATTTATGGGTAAGAGATTTGAGTAGATCTACCATCTCGGTTGAGTTGTTTATTGATTAGATACATACATCATTTGCAAATTTCAAAAGAAAATAAGGTTGATTCTAGGTTTTACAACTGAATGATTTCAATTTGCCAACAGTAAAGCTAAGTCTTACTCAACTAGTCAACCCCATAAGTGCTCTAACAAAAGAGTTCTAAAAAAGGGGCCATTGACCAACAGCACATATTTGCTTGTTCTAGCATTCGTGTAGTTATATTCAGTCCATGTGGAATAATTTGAATAAAAATATGTATCAGAGAAAGAAATGATTTGATTGGGGATTCATTTATGGGTTTTTGTAATATATCTTGTTTATTTGCAGCACACTGTTATTCCTTTGCAGCATCTTGTGAGTTTCGGACTCAATCTTGTTAGCCGAGCTTTTGAATTTCAGGTATAAGTTCTGTTCTGTTAACTAAGCCAATGCTGCTTGAGATTTTTTTTTCATTTGTCTTCCTGACTCCCAAGGTTTATATACATAACATTCCCTTAGGCTGATGCTTTTGCAAAGGAACTTGGGTACGGTTTGCCTCTTCGTGCTGCTCTCGTAAAGTTGCAGGTGATATTACTTCCTCACTTGTTTTCTTGTGTAGAGATGATTGTTGATACTTTGCAAAGACGCGGTGACAAAAAATGAATAAATAATCAATAAATGTGAAAAATTCATCAAGTCAGATGGATTTAGAATATTCTTTTAATGAGACGGGACAAATTGCATGAAATTCATTATTAATAGGGAGAAGGGCCAAAAATGATACTAAGGTTTCTAATGAAAGTATGAAACTCGAATTGGTCATTGAGGTTATTAGTAGACCAAATTAACACAGATTTGAATTTATTTGTTGCTTTTCAGCCACCCACTAACGTTTCCTTTAAACGAACGTTTCTGAATTCCACGCAACCTCAAAACAAAGGAATAAAAGGAATTAAAAAATGTAATGTCTTCCTAATCCACCGTCATCTCTGCCATGCTTAGAGCTCTGAAAAAGGATATTAGCAGTCTGTGCTTCAAAAACCTAGCAGACCCATCAGCCGAGGATGGTGTTCAATGGTCGAATTTTCTCTTCCAGGAAACATGATGCTTCCAGCACAGATGGATCCTCCAATAGCCTAGCTCAGTCGGGTCGAATTCTCTGATCTGAACTGATAAAAAAGGTGAAGTATGTTTTTGCATCCAAGGACGCCGACTCCCCCATTAATTAATCTCTGCCTTCCTGTCTAGCTGCTAGCTTCAAGGATAAGAAGAAGCTCGCTAACGGCAAGGATTTCACACCCGGAAGTTCGAATCCAAGATAAGGATGAAGGGAGGGCTTAGTTTCTTCAAAGCTTAAGAAATCAGGGTCTGTGGAGGGCAAGGAAGTCTTGTTGCATTATTCTCTATCAGCTTCACCAATTTTAACTTCTTCCTTAGGGTTACATAAGATTAAGAATCAGGGCCGTTGCCTCAGGAGAGCTTCTTCGGGTGATAGGTATGTAGATAATGTGGGTGGTTTGGGGCTAGTAATTTGTCTAAGACAAGTACAAAAGCAGTCGTGCGGTTCGTGCCTTGTGGCCAGGAAAGAAGAGTGAAAAACAACTAATCGGAAATTCTAGTTGGGTGGATCATGGGAGCAATTCGGATAGAATGTCAACTGAGAGTATACCTTCGGACCTTCCATAGAACAGAGTCCCCATCTAAGAGCTCCATCTAGATTACAGAATGGTTAACCTTCTTCTGAAGCAGTTGCGATTCAATTCCACTATTGAACATACCTTCATTTTCCAGAGTTTAGTTGTTTGGGAATGAGATTCATCAAGGAATTTCCTTTAATAACTTGCAGATCGAATGACTAACCTCAACCAATGCCCGTTTAACTGAAAAGGTTATAAATGCAACGAATAAGTTGGAATTTGTGTTAGGGAGAATTCCCTAAACAGGAGTAAAAAAGTTTTGAAATTCCAAAAGAGGAGTATCATGTTTTTTATTCCTTGAATAGGAGTAAATTTCTGTCAAGTTTGGCATTACTAGGCTTTAAAACATGTCATTTTTTTTTCAAACTTGGCAGATTACTCCTATTCAGGGATAAAAAACATGATACTCCTATTTTGGAATTTCAAAACGTTTTTGCTCCTATATAGAGCAATTTCTATTTGTGTTATGGTCTACTAAAAACCGGAGTGTCCAATTCGAGATTCATTAAAAACCAGTGTCATTGTTGGCCCTCAAAAAATCATGTTTGAGAAATGTGTATCATTTTTATTTTAGTATGGTACTCCCCCCGTTCCTAAAAATTCTTCCCGGTTTGACTTGGCACGCTTATTAAGAAAGTGGAATAAAGTGGAAATGTATGGTTGTGGTTGTGTAAGAAAAAGGTAAAATGAATGTGAGCCACACAAATTGTCCAAAATGGGAAAGTGAGAAATATTTTTGGGAACGGCCCAAAAAGGAAAGTGGGAAGTATTTTTGGGAACGGAGGGAGTACAACACTACACCCGTCATAGATCAAGCTTCTTTTGTTCCTAGTATGTTGCAACAGTTTGATTTTTCACGCTCGACAACACACAACTTTGATCATTAACATATATAATTGAGTATTAATAAAAAATACTCCCTCCGTCCTGGTCATTTCTTCCGGTTTTGACCGGTATCGCAAATTTATGCGAATTTATATAGGGGTTGACTTTCCCCTTATACCCTTGGCCGAATGGGGTAAATAAATGGTTAAAAGTTGAGGTAAAAACTTTAATAAAGTGGGAAAATGATTAAAAGTAGATTGATTGACATGTGAATAGTAAAGACTATTCACATTTGGCTAAAACATGCATACATTGAGGCGGCAATCCAAAAAAAGGAGGGAGGTTACTTTTTGGTTCCTTACGTATACTACTCCCTCCTAATTCCCTACATACACACACACTTCCATCACACACTCCACACACACGCACACTTACAGATACTGCACACACACGCACACTTACAGACACTGCACACACACGCACACTGAAAACAAAAAAAAAGGCAGCTTCCATGGTTGCAATATCTTCCACAGTTGCAGCTTCTTCATTTTCTCCAGCTTCTTCCACACTAGGACCCCTAGACCTGCAAATAGTAACAACCCATGGTCATGGTGCTGCAATGGGAAAAAAGGCTTTCAAACAGTGAAAAAGAGAGCATAACACATGTACTCTTAATGTCCAGTAGGAGGGATTCTTTGGGGTACTTGAAAGCTCAGAAAAATATTTTTGTCATACTTGCTGAAGAGTATGAAGTGTCCAGAAGAACTATTTCTGGCATTTGGGACACAGTTAAAAAGCAAGTTGTACAAGGTGATGCAGTAAATGTGTGTAGGAAGTACCATGGCAGAAAAAGGATAGAATTTGATCTATCTCAGGTATCACAGATCCCACTGCATAAAAGGACTACCATAAGGTCCTTAACAGCTGCCACCTCAATATCAAAGTCAAGTGTCCACAGTTTAGTTCAAAGTGGTAAGATCAGAAGGCATACAAATGCAATAAAGCCATTTCTAAGTGATGCAAATAAATTGCAAAGATTGAAGTTTTGTCTTAGTCAGATAGAGAAGTCAGTGCCACAGAAGCCTACCTTTCAAACATTTCAGAATGTGATTCACATTGATGAAAAATGGGTTTTCATGAAAAAAACATCTCAAAGATTATACATGGGGTTGGAAGAGGCTGATCCACACAGAGTATGCAAATCAAAGAGATTCATAACTAAGGTAATGTCCCTAGGTGCAGTGGGTAGGCCCCTTTTTTCAGAAAGTGGTGAGGTCATTTGGGATGGAAAAATAGGCATGTTTCCATTTGTTGAACAAGTTGCAGCAAAAAGAAGAAACAAAAACAGAAATGCAGGTGTTATGGAAACCAAGCCTATTCTTAGCATAACAAAGAAAGTGTTCAAGGACATGTTAATCAACACGGTCCTCCCACCAATCAAGGAAAAATGGCCTCCACAGTTAAGCAAAGAAATGATAATACAATAAGACAATGCAAGGACACACATTTCACATGATGATGCAGAGTATATGAGTGCTTCCATGGTTGATGAGTTTACAATCACCCATACTAACCACCCCCAATTCTCCAGACCTTAAAATCCTAGACCTAGGGTTTTTTAGGGCAATACAATCTTTGAAAGACCAGAATGCACCCAAGACAGTGGATGAACTGTTACATTCAGTGGATGATGCTTTCAAACAACTATCACCTATGACTCTAAACAAAGTATGGCTAAGCTATCCGTATGTTATGATTGAAGTTCTGAAAGTGCAGGGAGGCAACAATTACAAGCTATCACACAATGCAAAGGATAGGATGCAGTCAGAAGGGATACTTCCAATAACAATTGAGGTAGATGTTCAATAATTGGAAGCAACAGAACGGATTCTAGGGCAACAAACAGGGGATACTGAAAGTCAGGGGAACTTCATATATGAAGAAGATGATCATCATCATCTTCAGTGACGAAGTACATGCTCAAACATAACAGGCCTTAAATTTTTTGTTTTTTGTACAGGCCTTAATTTTGAAGGACAGTTAGACATTTAGAATTAGTGAATGATGCTCAGACGTTTTGTAATACATGCTGCATACTCAGACCTTTTGTAGAAGTACAAGCATAGTCAGACATTTTGTAATAGTAGAAGCATACTGATCTAGCAATGGTCATAATGATTTCATCATTTTGGGACAAGAACATCACACTCGGACCTTATGAATAACTACATCAGCATACACACCACACACAAGTACTGATCATCATATGGTACTGAATAAAGTACCATATCACATGGATCATGGTCATCATAGTATGCATAAAGTACCACATCACAGGATCATGGTCATCACAGTATGCTTAAACTACCAAATACTTTCATATGCTCATCATAGTATGGATAAAATACCACATCAGAGGGTCATATCACAACCTAATGCTTTCATCATAGCATACCACACAGAATGAACCAATACAAAAATCACACTGTGTAGTAAAGAACCAGTACACACAAGGTCTACTTTCATCACAATATGCATAAAGAACTAGTACACACAAGTTCTACTTTCATCACACTATGCATAAAGAACCAGTACACACAAGGTCTACTTTCATCACATTATGCATAAAGAACCGGTACACACAAGGTCTAGTTTCATCACAATATGCAAAGGGACAGTTTCATGACAGTATGCATAAAGGATCAGTACACACAAGGTATAGTTTCATCACAGTATGCCTAACTAACATTTATGATACCAAACCACCATGTACAACCCATATGCATCACAATAAACATCAATAAAACAATTTTTTATCATTGCTTCCCCCAAATTTCACACAATGGACATAGAGTACGAATTAAACCATAAACAAAGATAAGGTATAGAAGAAACTCCCCTGTCCACGTCCCACATCCTTGTTTCCCATTTTGGCAAAATTATTTTTAGGAACTCCTCCAACCGAAGACTTCTCTGAATAGGATGCATGTCAATGTCTCTGCGTCTTTTAATCCGATTTGGGTCCACCGTCCCCCCCCCCCACGACCTCTGCAGGCTTCTCGCTTACATCCTCGGGAAGCTCTTCTTCACTGTCCGGGATGATGAGGAGGGCATCCTCTTCCGCGGAGTTCTGAGCCATGCACCTCGGATGGAGTACCAATATAGGGTCATCTGTGTCCAACGCCACCGCTTCCTCCGGAAGAACACCCTCTTCATCGTCAGGGACGATGAAGTGTTCAATATTCTCCATACTCAAAGTATTAGGGTTTAGATCCTTAAAAATGTGAGAGAGAGGGGGAAGCGGAAGGGTAGATAGATTTACAGAGGGGGAAATGGAGGAAGTAAATGGGAGAGACGGTTGGAGTAATTGAGAGAGACGGATACAGTGACAGAGAAAGAGGAGGCGGTGGGAGTAAATGGGAGAGAGGGATGCGGGTGGGAGTAAATGAGAAAGAGAGAGGGATGCGGACGGGTAAAAGGGAAGGAAAATGGGAAAAGATTTTTTTATTGGGGAGAGTAAAATAGGGTTTTTAGTATGAGTTGATTTCCTTTTTAGGAAAGTTGGAAGAATTGATTGGGACGGCCCAAAAAAGAAAGTTGGAAGAAATGACCGGGACGTAGTGAGTATAAAAAAATGAAAATTTTCATTTTGAAAAACTTCACAATGCTACAGTAATCAATAAATTGATGTCATACTTGATTCTCAAATCTTTTTGTTGATTTACCTAAATTCACATCTTTAAATTGTCTAATAATATTATATTGGTAAATTATCAGGCAAATTTTATGAAAATTAGCTTCCTATGATTAAACTGAACTTCTTTTGGGACAAAATGTGTGTGTAATAGGACTATTTTTTGGGACAGGGAACATCTTTTTTAATTGGACCTGATGAATGTTAGAGAAACTAATGCTCTTTGTTTTGATGTTTTCTGATCAGTTATCGTAACAATGCATAGATTAATGATAAATTCTTCTTTTAGGAACTGTAAAACTTGAATTGGAGTGGTTTTATGTATCGATTCATCGATAACATTCTTACCCTTTTTGTAATAGCATCTTCAGCACATTCTACTGACTTGTTTTTGTCTTTTTGTTATTTCAGGAGGAAAATTCGTCTGCAATGAACACAGATCCTTGGTATTCTGCTTACCATCACTCTCATCCCCCGCTGGTAGAAAGATTGGCTGCAATTGACCAACTTGATAAAAAGACAGACTGATCATGACTTCAGGCAAACCACTCCCCCACCCACCCTCCCTGAAAAGAAGAGCAGACGAGCAGTAGAAAAGAATTACTTCGGATAGTTCAACTGCAGATACATTATCTTCGCAACATAAATCACTCTACCTATCTTTTGTACCTCAGATCGTTAAGTAATGTTCGAAAAAGGGAAGTTTTGATTTTCTTTCTTTCTTAATTTGGCCTAACCTGTGCGACTAAACCACATATAAGCTCTAGGCTTAGTGTAGTTGTTTTACAGAAAGTGAACTCATGTATTATGTACACCATTATTAGTACTGATACTTCAAACGTGCTTAACTGTCCTGTCGTCCATTCACCGGGCCGGTCCGGGCCCGCACAGTAGCTGGCCGGTCCGGTTCTGGGCCGGTTGGCCCGGCCCGAGTCCACCCCTAGTCGATACCCGAGCCCGGTACTGTTTGTTCTTTAAAAAATCCAAAAAGTTTTAACATTTATTTAGGGTAAGTTCTTTTTAGTTTACCCATAAGTGACATGGTTGGGTTGATTAATTTATTAATATCTGGTCAAGTTATTTCTTAGGGATCAAGAAGACACTATCTCTCAGATTGTCCCAAAATACTGAATAATACTACGTAATAGCGATTAGTAGTGTGCATGTTATCTTACAAGTATAAAATAATAATGCACTTCCTATTCTGATTATGGTTGGACTCGGGTTGGGCCACCCGGCCCGTGGACCGGCCCAGCCCGCTACTGTGTGGGACCGCGACCGGCCCGGTTCTCGGGTCCGGGTCGGGCCTAGGCCCGGGGGTAGGGCGGGTCCGGGCTCGGGTCTCAAATTTGGTGAACCGGCCCGGGCCAAATTGATTTTTTTTTTTATTTTTTTTTTCATTTTTGGGGTTCCACCCGGGTTGGGCTTGATGGGTTTGGGGGGGTTTGGGAGGGTGGGGGGTGAGGGGGGGGGGGGGTTAGGAAAGCAAAAAAAAAAAGAAAATCCAAACCGGAGGCCTGGCCCGGACCTGGACCGGACCCGGTGGCTACCCGGGCCGGTCCCGGGTCTACCATTCTTGAACCGCCGCCCCGCCCAGGACTAGGCCCGACCCGGACCCGGCCCGGACCCGAGTCCACCCCTAATTCTGATGAAAAGTGAAAACTAGTATCGTAGAGAATATGAACTTTAACTTGTGTTTTATTTGTACTTTGTTAAATTATATGGAATATAAAAGATGCTGTCAAATTTATCAAGGACTTTATAGTCAATAATCTTCAAAAGTAAATGACAGCTACACTAGTACTATGGTTCTCTAATCTTCTGGTTCTGGTGTGGAGGGTGATGTAATTTATCTGGACCGTCTGCTTGAATAAAAACATTCCATTTACGGACTTTTGGGCAATCTTTAGGATTAGTGCTCACATTCAAGGAAAAATGGATCAACAATAAGCTCATTTTATTCAGGACCACAATTTTTTCAAGGAATTTGGGAGGCTAAATTTGATCCCTTTGGAGCATTTTGGGATTCAAGGTTCTAGGATTTCTCTAATGCGATGGGCGGGACAAGAGCTAGGGTGCATTTTGCTTTAGCGTTTTTAGCTAGAGTTTTCTCTTTTTAATTTCTGTCTATTGATGGACTTGGGCCGGGTGGCCTGACCCGGTGGCCCGGTCAGTGACCGGTCCGGGTAGGCTCGACCCGTGGGTTTTCCGGTCTGGGCTCGGGTCACCCAAAACAAGGCCCGACCCGGCCGGGCCAGGTTCGGGCCAAAACTATTTTTTTTTTCAATTTTTTTAAAATTTCGGGTTGGGCTGGGTATTTTGGGCCATTTGGGGTGGTTTGGGGGGTTGGGGTGGGAGGGGGGTTAATTAGGAAGAGGGAAGGAAAAAAAATTGATAATGGGCCCGGCCCGGACCCGGTGGTTACCCGGTCCGGTCCCGGGTCCACCACTTCTGAACCGCCGGCCCGCCCGGGCCTAGGCCGGACCCGGCCCGGACCCGAGTCCATCCCTATTTCTGTCCTTGGCTTTTTTATATTTCACTAGCTTAGTTTCTTCTCTAATTTTCTTCCTTCATCAACAATTGTAATTTTTATTAATTTTAATAAAATCTAGTTTTTTTGCTTAAAATAATACTTCTATATGATTCTCTAATCTTTTCGAAAATTTCTATAAAAAAATCTTTCCGAAACTTTATTCCACCTCGTGAGATCATATTCATATATTGGAAGTAGTGATAAGTTTTTTTTATTATAATAGAAAATATGCGTCTTATATCGTGATTCTAGGAGTAGGAGACGAGAAGTTGGTTGACAGCTGAACACGAGCCGGTCTGGTTCCATCCAAAAACATTGCCAGAATCGATAAATACTGGTTTGGCTTTTGGTTGGTTGGGTTAAAACTTAAAAGGTTGTGAATCTGATTTGGTATGTTTCTAAAAAAGTACTCCGTACTTCGTAAATTAAAAACATATCAACATTGTGGTTTGGGTCTATTTAGATTGTAGAGTAATCAGAACAGTTTAGACTTTAGAGCTACAAAATACAAACAAATGGACGCAACAAAAGTGTTTGGACGAGTGCCATAAGAAGGCTTGTTGTTAAGATAAATCTCTCAAGATGTGTACTTTTTACCCAAACATGTCCGCATCATTGTCTACTTGTCCAAGATTAAAAAGAACCCTTTTGTTTCAAGTAATGGAGGATCCAGATGTCAAGTGCTCTCTTTTGAAAAATGACAGATCATGTGAGCAAATGGGCTTTTTCTACACATGCATATGTAATACCTAAATGCATTTGGGACAGTTAGATTCACACATTGAGTGTTCAATGGCCAAAAGAAAAGTCTAAGGGGGTGTTTGGCTCTCAGCGGTTAGCGGTTAGCGGATTTGGTTAGCGGGTTGTAAATAGCGGATTGAATCAGCGGATTTGACCAGCGAGTTAGCTTGACGGATTGCAGAAAGGTGTTTGGTAAATTAATTAGTTGTTTGTAGCGGTTAGTAGATACAGAGACAAAAAATACAATATAAAATTCAAGCATGTGTTTTTTGTTTAATGTTTAATACTACGTACGAGTTTAGGACTACTAATTTATACATACATAATAAATGTTAGTTAGTAAATTTAAAATCAACTACATAAGGATATGAATCATATCCTTATGTAGTTGATAATAAAAATTACCTTACGAAAGGTGAGGCCTTGTGTCTCAAAACCAATATGCATTGAAATCAAAATAGAAAAACAAAAAAGTAATCGATTTAATCGTTGTTCATCATAAAAACAAATCGAATTAATACCCATCCATCATTATTTTTATGACTGAAAAAACAATACTGTAGATATCAGTCTCGCGTAGAAGAGAAATTAGAGAAGCCACAGAATGAATGGAATGGAAGGCTTCAAGCGATTGCAGCGAAACAGATCGAATAAGAAGATGAGGGCAACATGTGGAATTTAATAATTGTTTCAATCCGCCGAAACCAAAACACTCCAATTTACAACGTTTTCGTTTTTGGAGGTTTTGCCCCAAACGCTGCCACAAACCTCTGTTTGCCAAACGCAAAAAGAACAGCAGTTCCGTTCATCCCAACAACCGAAGTGGTCAAACACGCTGAATTGGGGTTGAAACGCCAGTTTCTAAACGAAGCCTAAGACTTCAAATGCATAATCATTTATGTTTGGCGGAGAACTCATTTATATATATAATGTCTTTATATAGATTATAATGTCTTTATTGAGGTAATAGTTATTGTTTTCACAAATATTTATTGAGAACTCATTTACATGATACATTTGTACATCTTTTATAGTTATTTGTCTATGTAGGGAAGATTTTGTCTATTACCATGTCTTTATTGAGGTAATTGTTATTGTTTTCACAAATATGTAATTATACATAATTTTTGTTTGTGCAAAAAAATTTGATACACTTTTCAAATGAGTTAGGAGTTAGGACAAATAGTTTTCTTTCAAAAAATCAACGGCTAATATTACTAACAAAACTCACTTACATGAGTAGTTTAACTGATTCTAAAGGTCAACATTCAGTCCAAAGACAATTCTCGATAATCTTAGCAATGTGTATGGGAAAACTGTTGGGTGTGTCTCGTAAAAACGAAGAAATATTAATTAATAAAAATAATTAATTAATTAAATAGCCAAAGAAAAACAGAAAAGAGATGGGACAGAGTTTAGCCAGAGCTCGTGCTACGCACGATGTCCTTAAAACGTATTCGTCGCCTCCCACGGTGCTAGGAGCGTTGCAATGAGCGTTTCCCAGGATACGGTGGCTAACGAAGTAACGTTTGAGCACACAAACGAGAGTTCCAGCGAACGGGAACAAAGGAGAACACTCAGAAATTTTTGGAGTAGTTGGAAGTGTTTTAGAGCTCAAAAATACGTGAGGAATGTATTGTGTGTTGTTGCAAACTATTTATAGGAGGATTTGTTGTGTGTTGAATGTAGTGTTAATGGACCTGAACGTTGGACATAAATGACCAATCCGTTGGGCATTGAATCGTCCATAAATTGTCAATTTAACGCAGCATTAAAAGACAAGAACGTTGGTCATTTATTATTGTAACAGACCAGAAGACCTCGAGCGTCTCTGATGCGGAGCAGTTCTATTGAGAGCAGAACCCTCTTCTGGACAACATTCGTGTCAGCAGGTCGCCCGCGCACACGAGTCGCAGTTTTTTTTCTCCGTTTCGGGATTTGATCGACACCCCCTACGCGTAAGAGAGAACCTTTACCTTTAGGAATCTTAACTCCTTAAATGAGACTTCCCTTTATAAGGGGGTGAAAATCCCTTGAGTTTTCCGGTGTGGTATAAAACACACTAGAAACCCATCATTTTCCCAGTTTTTCCATTTCAACGAGTGAACTTCGAGAATCAATTTCTCATTCACCCGTTATCCGTTTTGAACGTACCATATATCGAATTGTAGCCCTTAACAAGGACAATCCGAAACCACTTTGACCTGACCCAAATCGGAAGTGGACCCACTCAAATAATTGCCCCACAATGACCATTTAATACAATTTTTAACACATTTTTCCAACAAAAACATGGTATGTAGCTGTTCATGTGACGTTTAACTTTTATTTTGTGTGACAAGTTATTGTTAAAGCATCAATTTAGTTCTTTTGTTGTTATATTTCTTTTTTTTTTTTTGAAAAAATACTTCTAAATTCATTTTTTTCTCCAATTTGTTGTATAAGTTTATCAAATCGGGAAAGATGCCAATCTTGGCATCTTAAGGTTCTTCATAGACTATTTGTACATCTCTCTTAAAACTTTGTCAACTTTATTTTTTTGTATGTCCTACTAACTTTGTCACTTTCCCATTTAAGTAA